TGCCTTGTCTAACTGATCCCAAAGCATACCCCTACGCCCTAGCCAAGAAATTGTGGCAGGTAAATTAAGGTTACTTCCCCCTGATCGATAGGTTGCAGCATGCTGGCCTGCCCAGAATGGAATTGATGATCCAAGTATCCAAATGGTTGGGGTACCTGAAAAATCTTTGGTAGAGTTAGTAGGTGCTACAATCACAGGGGACAGCTTTACTGTCTCCTAATGTAAGTTAAATATGAAGTTGACCGCCATCTTCCTTTTGCTTTTATTTCAGTATCCGAGAGACCTTGTTTGGCAAGCTCGGTTGCCATGCCAATTCTGAAACTATGTGACCTAAAGTGCCCTGTGACCCCAATGAATTGTAATGCTTTTTGTAAAATGGCTTGAAACTGGTACTTTGTAAGGGGCTTAGAATTTAGATGTGTAAGAAGCTTGTCATTTCTTTGTAACCCCTCTCTTAAAAGCAGAAAATTATTTAAGATTGTGATTGGGCTGATAATGGATTCCGTATGAGAGGCGATATCTACTTTAACAGATTGTCCGATTTGGTCCGTTTTAGATCTTTGAATAGTAATTTGGCAAAGGTTTTGATTCTTTATTGTAATGTCTGAGAAATTGAGTGCCAGTGTTTCACTCACTCTTAACAAACCATAAAATGTAAGAGTAAATGCTGCTGAAAAGAGGGCGGATTCATATCCGGAACTGCAAACATTGGGCAGGGAATGGATAATTTTGTGAAAAAGCTCAAATGAAATAGGGATTCTTTGGTCTTTGTTTGTACCTACTGATCTACGCAGCCCTTCCAGGGTTTTAGAAACTATGAAACATTTTGTTGTGTCCTGAAAGCCATGTATTTTGTGTATGTATGAGATTGCATTTAGGTACAGTGATACTGTTCTGTATGACATATTATTAAGTGAGAGGAAACCAATAAAATTCACGAGCTGTTGCACTGGTGCTGGCCATATAATTTGGTAATTAAATTCTGAAATGAAGTTTTGAAATTTGTTCAGCGCTGTTGAATATGCTCGATGTGTTGATGGTGCTATTGAACATTGTAGTAATCGATTGGCTTCAAGCATTATATTTCCCAGATGTGGCTTGGTAGTGGGGTGGGCCCTAGGTCTGCCTGCGGTGCCAGTCGCCTGAATCTGCCCCACTGAAATCGAGATAAGGAGTCTGCAATGAAGTTTTGTTTTGTGGGGATATACAAGGCCTTAATACAGATATTTGACTTTAGGCATATTAACACAAGCTTGCGGACAAGATTCATGACCCTATCAGATTTAGACGTCGAGTTGTTGATGATGTGGACAACTGACATGTTGTCAATGTGGAAAACAAGTCTGGAATTGGCAAAGTGGCTCTGCCATAATATAATAGCAACCACGACGGGGAAAAGTTCCAGGAAAGTCATGTCCCTAGTAATACCTTGTTCAACCCAAAGGCTTGGCCAGACCCCATAAGCCCATTTCCCCCTAAAGTAAATACCAAACCCTCCATTAGTTCCCCCTGAGCTATCTGTGAAAAGTTGAATTGTGTCATTGTGAATCCAGGGCTGGGTAAATATAACCGATATACCATTGTAAGATTGCAAAAAAGTTTTCCATACTGTGAGGTCAGCTTTTATGTTCTTTGTTACCCTTATTCTGTGATGCTGTTTAGTAATACCTATTGTTGAATTTATAAGGCGGCGGCAGAACGCCCGGCCAGGGGCAATGACCTTGCACGCAAAGTTTAATAAGCCAATAAGTGACTGCATTTCTCTCAGGGAGACTTTCTTTGCCTTCAAAAAGTGTTCTAATACGCCATTAATCTGGTTTAATTTTTCTGAGGGGAGTTTCATGGTCATATTGACCGTGTCCAATTCTATTCCCAAGAATGTTAAGACTTGTGTAGGTTCGACTGTTTTGTCATGAGCAATTGGGACACCAATATCTGAACATATGGATTTAAAAACATTTAAGGTATTGTGGCAAGTGGATGTGCCTGGTGGGCCACAGAAAAGGAAATCATCAAGGTAGTGAATTATCAGATCATTTTGGGAGTAGTTTTGAGTGAGCCAATGTAGGAATGATGCAAACCTGTCAAATAATGCACAGCTGATTGAAGAGCCAAAAGGTAACATTTTATCAAAATAGTATTTGTCCTGAAATCTGAAACCAAGCAGGTCAAAGTCACCTGGGGATACTGGGAGCAGTCTAAATGCTGACTTAATGTCCGTCTTAGCTAAATAAGCCCCTTTCCCCACCTTAGCTATCATTTCTGCTGCTTGATCTATATTGCTGTAATGTACTGTACATGCTTCAGGGTCAATAAAATCATTAATTGACTTGTTTTCTGGGTAAGAGAGATGATGTATGAGTCGCATGTCACCATCTTTTTTAGGCACAAGGCCTAAGGGGGAGACCTGCAGGTTTGGAAATGGTGGGTGAACAAAAGGGCCTGCAACTCGTTTTAATGTTACTTCTTTTTGAATTTTACTTTCAGCTATTACTGTATTAGCCTTGAGGCTAGGGAGGTTACAAGATTCACGAGGGGCCCTGGGGCCCAAATATTGGAGATTAAAACCATACTTAAAACCCTGGAATATGAATTCACAATCAGAGTATCCAACTAAATGTTTACATAAATTTTGTAACTTGATTGGTGTTGTGCCCAAAGAATATATTGAACCATTATTTTGAACACCTGGCACTTGGGTGGTTAGCTCCGCATTTGCTGCATGCATGTCTGTACTTGCACCTAGGGAAGAAAGGGGCAACTTACTCCCTTGTTAAAATGATTACAATAAAATGCCGAAGTACGGTTTGAATTGCTTGGGTAAGAACTTTGACTTTGAGAAGAGGTACGATTATACGTTTGAGTAGTTTCATGCTTGTTAGATATGTACAAAAGCCAAAATTCCTGATTAATTTGACCCCATGACAGCTGGGTTGGTTGGCCATTTTTAAACGAAACTGCTCGTCATATTTAAACCAATTATTTGACCAAGTAGCAGCCATTCTGATATCTCTGAGATACTTGAGTAGTTCTTGAGCCCGTTTTGGAAATTTCTCTAACATTACGCTTGTAAATATAATAAAAGCCGATGTCCACTTATCGATTGTAAGAAAAGTGTTTCTTTTTGGTTTCACAATGCATAGCCGCCCTTCTTTAATTTTTATGTCCCCTTGTGATTCATAATCTTGTAATTCACAAGCTGTTTTAGTAAGCAGTGAGAGATCGATAAATTTGCCCTCCCATATTTGGTTTTTAATCTTCTGAGGGACGTGTGAACCTACGGAATCATAACAACTGATTTCTTGTAGTGGCTGACTTGAAAAATTTAAATTTGACTCACCGCTTCCACTGGGGATTTCAGGGATGCTTTGATCTATTTGTGATGTCAGCGTAGGTTGTATAGTATCGGATGGCAGAGGAAGAGCTTCTGGGGGAATTCCACCGGCGTCTGTTGCCTCGGCCGGGGCCTGGCGTGTTGGCGTGAGATTTGTCCTGGGCCTAGTGCTTTGACTGCACCGGTGCCCTCTGCCTCTCGATGGGGTGCCCATGGTCTCCCTCCGCTTCCTGGACGCTCTCTTGGTCACTCTCGTTCTAACTGGCGGCATGATTTCGATTCTAGTAACGTGATGGCTTTTGATTGCTTTGGTGTTGAAAAAAGCGTCTGATTTCAACAATTTGCTGGTTTGAAAAGGGAGATAACTTCCGGTGCATCTTTGTAATTAATTCGTACACAGTTTGACTCGTAATACGACTTTGTATATTCCTGATGTAATAACTTGTGTACACTTCGTCCCAAATAACCAAACATTAAAGCCCTGTCCTAAATTAATAATTTACTATTTGATATAAAATCAAATAATCTTGAATAAATGTTTACATTTTACTTCGAACAAGTAGTTCAGGTCAATCTACGATCATGTTAATGGACTGCAAAATAAAGAAAATTTTCTTACGAACAAAATACAAAGATAAGAAACTATAAGATGTTGTTAAATGGAAAAAAAATGTTTAATAAAATGTAGCTATATATATGGTTTGTGTCTAGTTCAGAAAACCAGCGCTTCAAGGGTAAGGAAAAAGAGCAGCATCTCTTTTGCATTTAAATGGACAAAACTTCGTTTACATTCGTTATCACGTGTTCGCCCAGGGAATTCAACTGGCAATTGTATGCACCGATAGTACAACTAAGGAATTAATTACAAACACAAATTGCTTTTGCAGTATGACTTTCAGAAACCTAGACTTCCGCCGTTTACTTAACAAATGAATTGTTTGTCATTGTGAGCATGAAAATATTATTTTAAAAAATGCTTTTCATTTACGATAAGATTTTCCTTTTTTTTCAAGCGTAAAATTCCTGTAATATTCATAGTAACCAATAATCCAATACTCATTCAGCTGATTAGTCAGTTAAAATCATGCTCGTGCCACATTTGCTAATCTGACGCCCAAAAATATAGTCCCGGTTCCCAAGCAAAAATATTTGTCAAATAAGAAATTTTAATTCATGACTGCAGAAAATTGTATTATAGAGGATACTAATTTAAGTTTGAATGAATGTAAAAGAGATCGATTGATTGAAGTACATTTATACAGACATTATCAGCTGATTCTAGAGTGATGAAAACTGAAACGCAACATAACTTTTCTGTTTACCATGCCTCCACATGCCAGTCACTTCCCAGCCACATTTATGTAATACCTGCTTGTTTACATATTATTGAGATCTAAATAACCTTCCACTTTCTTCCTGGATAAAAATCACAACTCCATATTTGTGTGAATTGTCATTTATTGAAAATGACAATGAGTATTAAAGAATACAATAAATGGGGAGATCCAAAAAACCTTATACAAATATTCTTTTACATAAACAAGTAAAGTTGTATAATGATCTCCCCTGTTACATGTCAAAATAATGTACGAAATAACAGAAAAAATTGTAAAACATATATACATTACAAGCAAAAAGTTGGCGTTCAAAAATAAAAACTCTGATTTTGGTATGACACCTAAAGGGGATGACACAAATGGGTCGAAAGGAGGGTTTGGGAAAGGTCCTGCTATACGATGGAGCTCAAGGCCCTTTTGTATGTGATCTTGTATGATTTCTGGGTGATTTTGAGCTGATTTATGGTTTTTTGACAAAGACGCTGTAGGAGTGTTTTCACATCCCAGGGAAAATCCGAAACTGAAACCTTTTACCAAATAATCTCTCAATTGGTCATCATAACCCCTTAAATGGTCATTTAGTTTGTTTGCCTTTACTGGTGTTGGGAGAGGTCCTATCATGTTCAGATTTTTCTGTAGATTTACATTTAATTTTGGGGTGATTACCTCTACAGGCTTGGCAAATGTGGGTGAATGGACAGGGGGTTGACTTACATTTGTTACCTTGGTTATAGGCGAAGCAGAATCTGACCCCACCGATTCTCCCCACCTGTTTCCCACGAAAAGGCTGCCCATTAGATTGTTTTGTGGAAACAGCTAATGATTTACCACGTAGTTCCTCCACTGGCTTTTGCCATGGAAGGTCTACTGTCTCCCTTAACTTCCTGAAAGACTCATCGTATGATCGCCACGCTGAATCCCCATGAAGTTTTTGTAGCTCCCTTATGAATGACATGTACTTAAGCAGGTGGGGAGCCTCAGTGGGTTTCTGTTGTATAACGATACACGTAAAAACCAGAAACGCATCTGTCCATTGGTTGATGGACAGAGGTGTTTTAGACTTTTGACTATGTTGCAAATTTATTACCCCTGGTGTGATCAGTAAGGTCACTGGGTCTTCCTCTTGGTGCGTCAAGAGACTACGCAAATCTATAAATTCATTTGACCATATTTTTGACTTAATTTTGTTAGGTACGGTTGCACCAAGAGGAATGCCATCAGTGATTGGTATGTAATTACTTGTGTTTTTATTGGGTGCTGTGCCTGCTGGCTCACCTTCAAATATCCTAGATACCAGTTGTGACACTGTTGCTGTTGTGTCAGCTTGTGACCCTGAGGTAGCATCTTGTGTCGTTGATGTAGACGCTTGTGACCCTGCTGTAGAAGCTTGTGACCCTGATGTAGCAGGCTGTGATGACATTGAAGCTGTTGTATTAACCTGTGATATTGTCGTTGATGCAGAGGTCTGTTCCTGGTTTTTTTCTTCACCAGTCGACTGAGGTTGGTGCAAACTTTGTTGCCGTAGGATCTCTGCGGCAAGTTTTTGATAGTCAATGGGGACTTGGTCTGGTTTTGTGGCCCCCGAAGCTTGATTTGGCTTCCGACGTTTTGCGGATGGCGCATCCATACCCTGGCCGTCTGTCTGTTTGGAAGTCTTTTTCCTAGGCATGACTCCTACAAAATGACTTCACTGTTTTAATACACTATGATATGTCTTAGCTAACCTAAGATGTGCCTTATATATAATAAGGCAAACAGATATTATTTCTTCTCAGGACTTAACACATCATTCTCAGTGTGTGTCAAGTCCGATATATCATTGATAACTAATCAAACTTGGTATTTTTATCTCTACATAAATTTCAGAACCATTGGACTGCATCTGTTATTAATTACTCAACTCAGATTTATGCACCCAGATGTTTGAGATCAAAATTTATGTAAACTTTACTGCAAATAACAAAATATTATATGCATTATGCATATAACATATAGGCAACATCAATTGTGACAACCAAAGCATATTGCTTTAATTGTATGACTACCAAGTACAGTAATAAAATCAATTTTCACAGTATTCTACATCAAGTACACACCATGAATCTCTAAACATACTACTCATAGAGAGACTAATACATTTGTATGAATAAAACTAATGCACACTACTCTGCGTGTGACTCAACAAATGCACACTACTCTGCGTGTGACTCAACTAATGCACACTACTCTGCGTGTGACTCGACTAATGCACACTACTCTGCGTGTGACTCGACTAATGCACACTACTCTGCGTGTGACTCGACTAATGCACACTACTCTGCGTGTGACTCGACTAATGCACACTACTCTGCGTGTGACTAAAATAATGCATAATACTCTGCATACGCTTAAACTGAATCAGACTACTCTGCGTGAGATTATATTAATGTACACTACTCTGCGTGTGACCATACTGAATTCTGACATGTAATAGAGTTACAGATCTATAGTTAATAAAATTAAAAAACACTGGCTTATCTGGAATGGTGAAGAACTGCAATACGAATGCTGTGAATGCTGTGGAGGTATTTTTTCATGTGCCTGGATGTTCCCTCTATGTGTACACCATCACGACCAAGATAAGACAGGTCCGTCCAAAATCCACGATGTTGCCAATAATAAATGTTTTCTAGGGTAGCAGTTCCTTCCTTCAATTTATTGTTAACGTATATGACGTCTTCGTTATACCCTGGTCTGGTCGCCCATGGCTGTCGACGTAACAATTGACCCACTATAACGTTTTTGATTCCCACGCCGTCACGTAAATATTGGGCATATGAGAGTAAATCTGTCACCACTTTGTGGGGTTGTACCCGGCATAAATCGTTGCCGCCCATTTGCAGAAAGCACACATCGGGGGGAGGTTTGGGGAAATTAGTGAATTCCGCGCATTGTGCTAGACGTTGAAAGGTTAGCCCCCCTCTAGCTTGAAAGTCCACAAAATATCGTGTATTATCTAATTGTAAATTAGCATAGTTTTCATTAGCTGCGATAAATTCACCTAACCGGCGAATGTATGAATGTCCCATGAGTCGAACATGAATCTTCGCACCCTCCGCCATCGTGTTGTGGGCTTTTTGGACGGAGCTGTCGAATCCTGGATTCGTTAAAAAGTCACCAATAAGAACTTACTTCACTGTCTAGGTCTACCAGAATTCAGATAAAGCTGTTTACTGATGGTCTACTATAGGAATCTTACAATTCCACAGGAAAACATGATGATTTCTTGATTTCTTAAGTAGAAAAATTTAACGTGTTTTTGTTTTCCCTCTAAATCAGTGAAGTGGCGCTATTCTGAGACACAAGAAAATACATGCTTCTGATTGGTTAATGTACACAGGTTTGGCTAATTCCCCGATAGAAGCCAAATACACATACATATGATATGAAAACAAAAACCTGGTACTATAAAACACATGATTACATAAATGCTATTATTTGACAATAATGCTGTATTCCGTGAATAATTTACCCTATCTCGCTGAAGTCTCGCTTACTCTCGCCAGAGCCACTGCCAGAGCTACTCTGAACTCATTGGGTTTTATAATTTGCAGAACACCGAAAAATAAAAGTTTCCGAACACATTAGTAGGGGTGAAATATAAACGGACTACAATCGCGGGCACAACCCTCGACAATCTCAGAAATTCAATGTTATCAGCTTAACAATAAATTATGGTATTTTATACACATGTAGCTATTTTCCCTACTATTTTGAAAAGTGCTGGGAGCAAGTTGTGCGTAGTTGGGTTTTTTTCCCGTAAGTTTACTTTATTTCAATGCGCATAGTGAACAGTGTAAATACCGCTAAATTTAATATAATTCCCGGGCATGTGGGTGTTGCTTTTAGCACTTTTCAGGTTCAGGAATTTGTCCTAAAGAAAACACGACCGATTTCATAGTGCAAAGACATCCATATTATACTATATCGTTGAACGTGAACAGTCTTTTTATCGTACATATTTTCTATCTAATTTTAACCATGTCACGTGACAAACAGCTGATGTGCATATAATCGCTTTGGCTGGACTCGGTTGAGACTCCATTCATACAGCTGCATTAGTATAATACCCATTAAAATTAAAATTCATGCTTATAAAAAAGATAACAACATTATATTGAATTTTTCGGAATACTTTAATGATGTATTCTTATGATCATTTTACCCCAAGTTGGACTTCGTACTTAGACATGTCGTAAAATATTCAAACTGATACCAATTTACAGACAAGTTTTAAAAGTTTTTATGAATTATATATTTAACTATATTTATTTCTAAATAAAAAATCTTTCTATGTTGTATTAATGACCAACACGTGTGCAAAATTACGATATTTAAGACATAGGCCTAAGAAAGTCAACAAGTGAAATCGACATGATCGAGAGGGGAAGAATCAAGAAGACGGGATCACTCGTTTCAAAGCGGCAGAAATGCCGAATGGCACGCCATTAAAAGAGCCAACCGACAGAAATTTTATAACATTACATTTATAACAATTCCCCACGACAAAATAAAACCCAGGCTTTTTGATATCATTGACAGCTGCTTCTTCAATAAAAATGGAACTCGTAAATTTACTTACCTCGTCATTGGTCATTTGCAAAATTATTTTGTTAAAACAGATTCTGATTGCACACATAAGTACTCTGAAGTAGACATCAAGAAGATGCTTGAGTTTCTGATTAACAATATCTATGTGGTTTTTGGAGACCAGGTATTCCAACAATCTATTGGAATTCCCATGGGTACAAATTGCGCTCCGTTATTAGCAGACTTATTTTCATTTTCATATGAAGCAGAATTTATGCAAAATCTTATGCGTGAAAAGAAGAAAACACTTGATTTGGCCTTCAACTCGACATTTAGATATATCGACGACGTATTGTCAATTAATAATGATAATTTCCAATCCTACGTCAATACGATATATCCCGGTGAGCTTGAGATAAAAGATACCACAGAGTCCGACACTTCTGATTCATATTTGGACATTTTACTTGAAAGAGACACTAATGGTAATCTAACAACCAAGCTATATGATAAACGTGATGACTTTAACTTTTCTATCGTCAACTTCCCTTACTTATGCAGCAATATACCTTAATCACCTGCATACGGAGTATATATATATTTCAATTGATCCGATACGGAAGAGCATGCTCTACGTATGAACAATTTCTTAAACGAGGTTAATTATTGACAAGCAAGTTGATGAAACAAGAATATCAGCAGTCTCGTTTAACAGGTCTGGACGATTTCTAAATATGGAAGTCAAGAACGGTAATCGAAAGTTGCTATAAATGTACATCAAGTACACGTAATTATTTTTCTGTCCAATCAGACAACAGCATTTTTACACACCCCAAAACATATTCTAAAAGAACAAAAAGATAACACGTGCTTTTGTTTTTTTCCTCAAAAAGATTTTTTTAACAAAAAATATGTAGAAGTAAGATGAAAACTTTTGAAGAATAAGGTATTCCCCACATTTTTACCGTGAACAACCTTGACATTTTTATCTCGGTAAAGAAAAAATAATAATGCACGATAAAATGTAATCGTTTACAGAGGTATAAATCGCACCAGCAAGTTTTTATCAAGTTTCATTAGAACATTTACCAGAATATACTATATGATGGTAAATATAATTTTGCTTAGCCGTCCGATTTTCATCGATAATGTTTAAATTCCATGAGTATAGATCAACTCACACAAATGTTTATCGTATGGAGTATACACATATAGTTTTGCATTATCACGGGTTTCATGAGCGCCGAATACTTAGCTAAGCAGACTTTAAATGGGCATAAGGAAAGGCGTTTAACGTGGAGAAAAGAGAATCCTGTACATGTAATTATACATGAATGCGTTTTATCCCAATATCTTACCTCACATATCAGAAACTGCATGGACTACTAGTATTCTGTAATAAACACTCAAAAATAATTTAGACTGTTAATATCTTTTCGATAAGATTTTTTGTCAGGCTCTAAAAACTGAAAATTTACCGTATTTATATCATTTTTTTAACGTAAGTAAACTTTTGGGATTGCTAACTCCCATAGACAGATTTTATTTATCCCACATAAAACGTATTCCAAGCTTTCAAGTCGTGTTTATTCACGGTAGAATTGTCATAAATATCATATTATTCCCAAATGCGCATAAAGTTTACAAAAAGTTTGTTCTAAAAAAATCTTTTGGGCAAAAAACTTAAAAACCACGTGTTTTATTTATTCTCTCATGGGTTTGTTTAAATGCTGTATATGATTGGTCAGAAGGATTAGCACCTTGTTTATTCTGTGTATTAATAACAATTCACGGTTATCGTTCTTGACTTCCTTATTTAGAAATCGTCCAGACCTGTTTAAAGTCATCATTTCGTAAGTTCTATGGACTATACAATGACTTTGTCAGCAAGTACAATTTATCATTGAGTCAAATGCTGACTGACGTTTTTCATACCAATTGTTAGTCCATTATTTACACACTGAATTGACGACGGATTTTTTCCGTTATTTCCTGATCATAACAACGAGCACACAGCGGGTCTGACCGGTCGGCAGGGGATGCTCACTCCTCCATGTCACCTGATCCCACCTCTGATGTTTCGGAGGTCCGTGTTTGCTCTGCTCTGATTTTGTATACCGTAAATCTGGAAAATTTCGCTGTAGGTAAATTTTTAGCAAATTTGCGAGTTCAATGCATTCGCAAAAATATTTTTCTTAAAAATAAATTGCCAATAAGAAAATGTAAACAAAGCAGTGGTAATTCGCAAAATTTTGAAACGTAAAAATTAATCAACACCATTTTGACCCAAATTCGCAAAATAAAATCGATGTAAAAATTTCCAGATTTACGGTATTGTTAAATGGACTTTGAGATTGAATACTGTTCGTTATCTCCATATTCTTCATTTAAAAAATTGCCGATATCACAATTAGGCCTACAGGTACATTCTCGAAAGCGGTCCCCAAACATGCCAGTCAAGAGCTCCGAAGTGTGTTGACGACGTTCCACATGTTCCAGTAGGCCTAGCAGTGAAAAAGCGAAAATGTAGGTTTACAATGCTTTGAAACTTATTGAAAATAGCAATGTTTATGCATTATAGATACAAAGGTTTCAAAATACATAGTATACTGTCACATCTCAAACTCAAACATAGCATAAACATGTTACATGTATGTAATGTTAGGCCTAAAGTCTCCAGAGGCGTGCAGACGACAACATTCGTATTATCTTTTTTATTGCAACTTTAGCTCTTAATATATATATGATAAATAACCCTTGATATTGTAAATGCAGAATTTCTATCCCAAATTTATAGACATACCGTAAGAAAATAATAAGATAACATCTATAATTTTTAGCTGTTTACATTCGGTAAGAAACTAGGTCGCTTCATTCTATGGCGGCCTATGCGGGTTAAAAAAATGGAATATTTCTGAAACATCATGGAACATGTAGAAATTATTCGAGTCTAAACTACAAGCCTGGGTTCATAAGTCAGATAGACAAAATAATGATTTTACATTTTTTGAACTATGATATTACCAGTAAATTATAATCTAATTTGTTCTAAAATAATTCTTTACAGGTAAGTCTTGTTTTCACAAGAATCACTTATGAAGGCCTTTACAAGAGAGCAGGGTTTAAGAACCACTAAAATCAGATGGAGAAAACCATGAAAATCAGATTGAGAAAGTGGGACTGGATTTGACTAATCCCTGTGAAGCCACCATCCAACACCACAAACCAGGACCCAATCCATGCAAAACCCTGCAGGGCAAGAGAAAGAGAGGACATCCAACAGATTATTATTAAGTTTTATGTGTTAATTGATTACTTTTTGTTCTTAAAAATCTTCTCTTAACAAATTACAATTATTACCTGAAAAAATCACACTAATTCTGAATATCTGGTTAATAAAACACATACTTTAATGCCTAAATGCCTTGATTTATTTTCATTAAATGTTGAAAAAGAAACAGGGGGTGGGGATATAAAAAATATCAAAACTTTCTTATATGTACACTAACCCCTACTTTTCATGCTATGAAAAGGAGTCATAATACCTAAAGAAATTGTACAACAATTTTCTTGAAAAGTTTAATTGTAGAAATATGTTTTTCTTTGGTTTTTTGAGCAATTTTTTAGGGAAAATGCGCCTAATTTTGACATGGGTAAACAACATTCTTGGGTACAAGTTATCTAATTGGAATTTACTTCCTCATATTTTGCTTCAAAAATCAACTTTGCAATACTTTCAAGTAAATTTAAGCCAAATTAAATTTTAATTCACTGTATTTTTATGTTTTATGAGGTATTTTATGGTCTAGTGGCATTTTTGATGAAATTTACCATGCTCTATTTTGGCCTATGTTCAAAGGGTTGAATCTCTCTTAGATGAACACTAACATACACTTTTCTTGTCTTTAAATTATTCCTTGAATATTACACTATCAGAAAAATATAAGCATTTGGAAAGTTTAATGCACGTTTTTTTCCGCGTATCATAAGAATACATCCTTAAAGGTACTTGGACACAGATTTGAAGTTAATATTTTCTCATTTTTTCTGTAATAACATCACGAATTATATATTTTAATAGCATTTCACACAAAAATTAAGTAAAAATCTTATTTCATTTAAAAGTTATTAAAACTTTAAATTTTTTGGCGGGTTTGATTGACACATCCTTGCACTTTCCCAAATTTTGACTTTATTCTTAATCCTTAGGAAAAGTGGCAATTTTAATGTGTTTTAATGAGAAATATTAAAACTTTTATCAAGAAAAATAATTTTATTCAGAGAAGAAATGTTAGAAAGCAAAACACCTTCACAAGTATCGTCATTCCGAACTAAGAGATGCGTACAGAGTTAAGCAAATCGACCACACTCGTGTTATGTACAAAGTTTTTGTAAACAGGGTTCGAGTTCTGTTATTGTTTATATTTAGAATTCACCGGGTGCGTTCAATCGTCACAGTCTGTTACCACAACTGCACGGACTGACAATATATATGTTTGTTTTGCTTTCGAACATGTCTACTCTGAATTTTCTGGATTATAGTATTAATATTTTTCATTTATACAAAACGAGATTGCCACTTTTCCTAAGGATGAAGAATAAAATTAAATTTGTGAGAGTGCAAGGATATGTCAATCAAACCCGCCGAAAAATTTGAAATTTCAATATCTTTTAAGCGAAATAAGATTTTTAATTAATTTTTGTGTGAAATGCTATTAAAATATAAAAGTCGTAATATTATAGAGAAAATAATAACTTCAAATCTGTGTCCAAGTACCTTTAATAAAAGCAAAATGAGCTGCAACTTTGATGTCGGAATTTTTTGTTGCAAAATTGTAAATACATGTAAATATGTCAATGACAGAAAAAAATAACCTTAATTAATTTCTGTTTTTCATGTTTGCGATGGAAGAACTATTCATTAGCTTCGGTTGAATCAAAATAACATTATTGTCGTCCTGTACGATTTCTTATATAAAATTGTATATTGGATTTTATGTAGAAGTCGTTCTTCTGCTTCATTTGGTGTAAATGATCATAAAGATTAAAGTTACATATTTATCAGAATTACACATTCTAAGAGCAAAATAAAATTTTCAAAAATGCAGCTCATATTGCTTTAAGGCATATTTCCTATGGGAGTCCTAAAACTAGATGCGCTGATAACCGGCCATCCCCGCCAAGATCCTTCGCTATAACAAAATATAGTGTAAATCAGGCCATCCTTAAAAAAATGTTTGTTTGGAATTGACGACTGGGGGTTTTCATACCCAGGAAGTAGGGATGGATTTTTTTTTCTCAAAAATTGAAACTAAATGATTCAAAATAAAAATCTCAATGAACAGTGGTGATTTTCATTTATTTTCCTCTTTCTTTTCTTTTATTAATATTATTTTTGTCTGATAAAAAAAAGTACACAGAAGGGTACTCATATATCAGTCTAATTTAGATGTTAGATCTGATCATTTATTTGAAGTCAAATTTCAGCGTCAAAATTCTAGTTTACTTTAAAAATCCTTTTAAAACTATTTTATCAGTCTATTTCATAGCATTTCTCTTTGAAATTTAGCCCTTTGTTTAAACAACCTTTACAAACAGTGCGAACCACAGATTTTTTGGAGTTGAACTATGTTCAATCTCCCATGGTCATCACGTATTTAACATGCACAGTAATTTGTGTTGATTACATAGAGACGAAAGCGAGGCTACTGTGTCGGCTGATTTACTCCGATGATATTCAACAGAAAACATGCATAAACATCCGCGACAAATAGTTCATGTCATTTTCTCGTGAATTAATCTAATTTCCATAATGTTAGTAAATGTAATGATAAAGTAATCTTATTTTGAATATTAGAATTCGTTCAAAGTACATATGTTAAACTAAATTATAAAGAACCATGAAAGTGTTTCGTAATGAAACTCATTTTTTAATGTAGCGTCATACACTGAAAGAGATACGAACGACAACTCTACATACTGATGGCAAACGTTAAATTTAGTCGTATTCAAAATTTTTATAAACATTTTCTTGGTTTAATTGAATTTGTTAATGCATAAAAACTTTAGGATACATGCGTATTTATTACTTAATCAGCAGTATCACCTGCCAAAAGCGGTAAAACTAGTATCTGTTATAAATATTAAAACCAAAAACGGACACCGATGTTTTCGTAAAATCGTGATTAAAAAAAAAAAAATGAAGAGCCTCATTTACATACCCGATAATTTGTACGCACACAAACTCTCGCATATACATATGTACCACTGTTTTTATGTTTTGTCAATAAATATTTGTTTTTAACTTGGTATTGCTCTTTTCTTCACAATATTAAAAAAAGATTAAGTTCTGACGTACTCCATGTATAATGTTCGTGTAGTTGAAATACATTTTTATTCACAGAAAAGTTTTATACAACAAACCTGTTAGCTCTCAAAAGGATGCTGTGTTAAAATCCACATTTTATCAACATTGATATTATTCCTGCGAAACTGAAATTTTCATAACACATGGGTAAAGGTGCAAAGGAAAAATATATTACAAATTTGAAGACTGTGAGCAGTGATATAAATGATCAACCGCCTCTAATATGAATATAATGGCAGTGTGCATGTTTTGCAATGGGAAACCCAAAATATGTGTAGGATGAAAAAGAAATAGATGCACAACGGCAATATGTAATAAAGATTCTATGAAAATTTCGTTCAGTGGTGTAAGAGGAGTTGCGGATAAGAGATGGGTACACCTAAAGTGTAACAAGATACAAGATTTTATTAATCCAATTTGGGCCCCGGAGGAGCAAAAAGATTTACAAATAGAAGGAGGAGGATCCAAATGATAGAACAAGCATGATGATGATATTACAAATAAAGATGTAACAAACAGATGGACAGAAATCACGATTAATTCCCTCCCGCTTTTCAAGCAGGGGTATAAAAAAGGACTAATGTAGGCAGGCAAGCATTATGGCCCATGCATTTTTTTGCTATTCAATGTCTCTGAATGACTTTCTCAATCAAGATTGTTCCAACTCAAAAAATGTGAAACAGTTGTCTGTATTTGAAAATACAGACATAATAATAATTAATACATGTAATATTGTTCACTCACTTAACCTCCCGATCAAAGATTTTACAAATGTATTTACACCATGCTCAACTCCCATGAGTGCTATCAGTACTTTGATTTTAAAGAATAGTTGAGATGTTTTGTGAAAAGCGGGAGGGGGTGCTTGGTATGTTCTAGAGTATTCGCCATGAATCAGTTTAAACATTATGTTTCAAAGACTTGTCATACTGACCGACGTTTTCATTCAGTATTTGGGATGAAACATTTCTTATCCTGAACTTGAAATTTTTTAACTGGGGTCTGAACGATCATTTTAATTTCAACATCACGGACTTAACCTAACAAGATCAATCTTTTACAAAAACTCTTTGGTGTATCATTCCATTTGATGTTTTTATCCACCTTTTATTTTCATTGAGATGCATGTTCTGCTCTTCAACGCTTGAATGTTTTCACATCCACTGATCCAACAAGGTCTGACATTTTGGCGGCTTTCATTTTGTCGAATCGCCACCTTTAATCGCTATATTATAAATATTATGAAGAAAGCGTTTTATTGACCGGTGTTGTTAAATTAATGTGAGCTAAAATCCGACTATAAAGAGCTATTTCGACGAACGAACTAACTTGTAATAAACAATGTAAGACGATAAACGGTAAAAAACGGTAAAAAAAAAAAAACAAAACATTTACAATATTTTGCCAATAAATTTTTTTGAGCGGGGGGTATTTCAATGAGGCGGGCGGTAATTACAAACAAACTTTAATTTTATTTTGGCCTCAGTTAGAGCAGTTGTAACAAAAATATGACATAAAGCAAAGATTTCATTAAGAATCATTTTAAAACAATCAACAATTTCCAATGACAGCAAATCAATCAAAAATATGACACAAAGCAAAGATTTTATTAAGAATCATTTTAAAAACAATCAACAATTTCCAATGATAGCAAATCTGGAAAATGCATATATAAACCTCATATCATTATACTTTGATTTTCAATTATCAGAACTACTGTGAAACCATTTGTCGGTAAAGACCTTATTTCGTGTATTCACTTACATATACAATAGAAATAAATGGTTTTGATTAACTTATGTAAATTCTTGGATATTGGATACTTTTTAATTCCACAAATATTGAGCCAGAATTTTTTAAAATGATTTCTTGATAAAGGTGTAAACTACGACTATTTAAAACATAAAATTCAAATGTCTAGTAGATAAATGTATTTATTTTAATGCAATAAGTATTTTGATAGCCCGGTTACCCGTCAATTAGCTAGTTTCTTTCCATAATCCTTTCAATGCTAGAACACCTTATCTTATTCTCCTTCAATGAGTAAAAAGTCTGTAAAACAGTTTGTTGTGTGTTCCCACCTTTGTGACGTTTAATAATTTGTTTGAAATTCTCAAAAGTATTATTAACCATGACATACAATTTTTAGCAGACAAAAATATCAGGGATGAGAAATAAACCAATTTTGTAAAGGGAGATAATCCAAATTTACAGTTATTTTCCACTTAGAGTTAACAGAAAAATAATAAAAATGGGTCTGAAAACGTCACTGACTTGACCGAACTTGGGAAAGTTCAGACCTATAATGCAACGTTTTTACATCAAAAGAAGCTTAAAAAATTATGAAATTCAAATCAAACATGTTTTCTCAGCGAAAGTCATGCGATACTTAACAATTCAAATTATTTTTGGAATATCTTTCATATATCTAGGCAAACTGTAAATATCAAGGAAAAGCTTTATGAAGTACAGTCTATTTATACACTGAATATAATTTTGAATTGTCATCGACACTAAATGGTTATTTTAATTAACACTTATTGGAGCATCATTTTTAAACGTCGACACTTCTATTCGCCTTGTTTGTAGAGGGCTGCCTTTGGTTTGTATTCGTAAGGAATAAGAAATGCAGACAAGTGGAAGAGTTCAATAAATACTCTGTAATCGTCCCTGCAACAAGAAAAAAACTAATTATCCACCATCCTAACTTTATTCGATGATTTGATACATTTTTAGCTTCAAAAGGTAAATTAAATTTAAAGAAACAGTATACACTTTATACTAGAAATAATATAACAGAAACACGTTTGTAACAAAAAAAGCAACTATTTTCATGATTTAAAAGACTCACTCATTTGTTTTTTTAAGGTAGTCGTATCCCGACGTACCCCCTGTTCCTGTTTTCTTGCCCAGCATCCGATGAACCATCAACACGTGGGAATCTAGATATCAATCATTTGTATGATTTCTGTTAAGCGATAAACAACTATATCTCTTAAAACCTTATAATTTGTAGCAATAAGAAAAGTTGAGAATTTTTTTTTTAGAGTATTACCCTGATTATAGTACAAACGTTTACCACGTGGCTGTATATTAACTGAAAATTATTTTAACGATTAAAGTCCATTAGCAAGCGTATTAACTCGTAAATGCTTACTCATAAACCAGCTAGTCATAATCAAATCTTTGAGTTTACTCTCTTGGGAATCATATAGTTTTTAATATATATCATAGCGTTATCGTCTGTAAAGTGTTGATACTATTGATCACTAGCTTTGTATTTGATGCATTGTGCATTAATGAACTAAATTGAGATAACGAACATTATACAAGCTCAAAGGTCCATTAATCAATACAAAATTGGAGCAGAGTAAACATTGACATCCAAAACATCAGAGGTATGATCAGGTTTCAAGGAGGAGTGAGTATCCTCTGATGATCGGTCACATCTGCCATGTGCTCCTTTTCATGATCGGGGAAAACATCTGTCGACAGGGTGTAAATAATAAGCATGAAATACGTCAGTCAGCATTTGAATTATGATAGACTGTATCTGCTGAAAGGTCATTGTATCGACCATAGAACAGATTCAGTCATCATTTTTATTTTAAACACAATTTTCTAGTATTGAATGAGGTATTGATTTATGAAATGTGCAAAAAAGTAGGCAACTTGTCTTTAACAGATTTTTGAGCAACTATTAATAGCTAACAGAAATAATTATTCTTGAGCAATTCAAAAAGACACTTACGGCGCCATTTTGAGACTAAAGCGTCGACATCCATCACAAGTTTTATTGTTTCATATGCCCTCTGGAACTCTGGCTCTTCTTGGTAAAGTGAAATCAGCAGCGCCCCATGAAATGCTTCATAACTGAGCCTTTTATCTTATTGTCAAAAAGACATGTACAAAGAGAATGCGCTTTCTAAAATTGTTTTACACATCGAGTGAATTACTTGTACATATCGGGGTATATTATATATATGTATGCTGAATTTATGATAAACCAATTTATCTTGTTTTCTTTATCTAACTCACCACTCTCTTTGTACTTCTCCTCTTCAATCATCCCTATCAATGCTGCCTGAATCAAATGAGTAATTATTCTGATTATTTTATTTTAATGTAGCATTTTCTGAAAATATGTCTTCGTACAAGTTTTGATTTCATGTTGTAATATTGGTTTGCAGGATATTGCATTACCTCGTCGCATTGATTTCCAGCATCCTGAAAAATCAAAGCAAAACAGTGTACATATCAAATCATAAAAGGTTGTTTCATTCATTTTTTAAAAATATACAGTTTTTTATTGTCCTTGGTATTACCTTCGACCATGCATCCACCATTTTGTGCAAGCCATCACAATATTTTTTCCTGTCATCAACATACTTTCCAAAAATTCTTTCCAACCAATTCTAAGAGAAGAATAATTTTGTCAATGGAAACTAAAGACTTATTTGTCTTTGTAAATCGCATTACAAAGCGGAAGATTATATAATAGAACAGAATGTTTATTTATTTGAGCAAGGGATGTCAAAAATATTTTTATTTTTTCTTACTCGATCTCGTTTTCACATTTCTATTACATAATCACGTGTTTATTCGAATTTCATTTCCTTATTCAGGCGCGGATCCAGGAATTGGAGTTAGAGGGGGCGCCAGAATTAGGCAAGGGGTCTGGGGGCCGCCTTGAGGCCCCCTAAGGGTCCAGGGCAAAGCCCTGGTGGGGGTTCAGGGGGCGAAGCCCCATGAAGCTCCTGGATTCTAGGGATTTTGTAGGGTAAAAATGAGGTTTTCCCAATTAGACATATTTACATTTTCTAGACGAAACTGTGATTTACGCTAACTTTGACAATTTTAGGGGGGCGCCGGATGTGCCCCCCTTTAATCCGCCACTGTTATTCGTTCGTCGTCTATTCTATTAATTGTTAGCCAAAAAGTCGACTATTCGTTGACATCTTTAATTTAAGCTTACACACAAAAGAGAAATTCAAATGACTGTACATGTATTTGAATATCTTAACTTTGCTATTTATTTGTAAATATTTAGACGATTCCCTTTTTCGGTATTCGCATCCTGATTTCCATGCATGCACATATATCTTATTTACATGTAATCTCTCCACACA